CGTCACCTATAGGGTGCCGGTCGGAAACTTAACCGCCGTCATAATTGGTTCCGCCGGGGCGTGTTGCCGGAAGGTCCTTACGCCCTAGCGCTCCGGGTCTCACGTTTCCAAGACTACGGGGCGGAGCTTGTCTGGCATCCTAGGCTTGTCAATCGTCTGCAGGGCCGTTACTTCCTAGAGGTTGGCTCCTTCTCCCCAAGACAGTCTTTTTCAAAAGTAATTTTACTTTGTTTGTTTGTTTGTTTTCGTTTTCTCGAGACAGGGTTTCTCTGTGTAGCCTATCCTGGCACTCGCTCTGGCGACCAGGTTGGCCTCGAACTCACAGAGATCCGCCTGCCTCTGCCTCCCGAGTGCTGGGATTAAAGGCGTGCGCCACCAACGCCCAGCTACTTTTTTTTTTTTTTAATTTTATGATACGGGTATTTTTGCCTGCATGTGTGGTTGTGCATTCTGTGCGTGCAGTGCCTGCGCAGGTCAGAAGAGGGAGTGAGATCTTCTGGAACTGGAGTTACAGACAGCTGTTTGCTGCCACGTGGACGCCAGGAATTGAACTCCATCCCCTGCAAAAGCAGCCAGTGCTCCTAACCACTAGAGCATCCTCTAATAAGAATGTTTTTATTTCTTTGATAATTTCAGATATGTGTACAACGTATCTTGATCATATCCAACCTAAATAGCTCCTCTCACCCTCTGGTCTTTTTATGTAAATACACAGGCATACATAACTGGAAACAGAAACTGAAGCAGTATGCACACACACACAAACACTGTGTGTCTCTCTCTCTCTCTCTCTCTCTCTCTCTCTCTCTCTCTCTCTCTCTCCCACACACACACACACACACAATTTTGATCCTTGCAAACTATAGTTGTATTTTCAGCTTTGTAAAACTGTCTCCCAGTTTTCTGCATTGAATTGGCATTGTATAGAAATTAACAGCATGTTGGTCAAGAAACATTGTGCTTATTTGTTCCATTTGTATAGAGGTAATGCAACGTATTAAACATGTAAGGTCTGCTGAGTGCTCAGCTCTAAGTAGGACATCTATGTCAACACCCAAGAAAGGGTAGCAAGAACGTAAAAGCTGGAGGATGGGAGGAGGGCTAGGACATGCAGTCTTCTGGACATGTTAACTCACAGCAGCTGTGGCCACCTGCACTAGACTGGGCCTATGGCCAGATGTGGTGGTCCATGCCTTTCATTCTAATTCTTTAGTCAGGAGGCAGAGATAGTTAGATCTCTATGAGTTTGAGGTCAGCGTGGTCTATATAGTGATTTCCAT